AGAAGAGGAAACAGAGAAGTGGCCCAAGGTCACACAACTCTGCGATGCCACATTTCATTTGGTCTTCTATACATTTTCTTTTGTTCCTTCTTTTCAGCATATTTTGATGCAGGACCAAGATCTTTTCTTTGAGGAGGCCTCCCCTGGTTGGACTCTGCCGCGTCTTTCTCACACAGATCGCGCCTTTGCTCCAAGGTCCAGCTTCAGTTTCGTTTAGGTGGAACAAGAACTTAAAGTCACTCTGAAAGCAAAGCCCTAGTTTTTACAACGTTTTCTCTAATCTTTTTCTGAGATCGGTTAATCGAGGTATAATTTATCTATAGTAAAATTCATCCTTTGTAGTAAATAGTTCTAAAATTTTTGCAAACACACAGTCACGCAATCAGGTACGGATTATTCCCCAATCTTTTGTGGTTACATCATCCACTTCTAATTCAGCTGCAATTTTTTTAGCATTGCCTTTATCAAGATTTTCTAAAGCATTTAACTAAGTTTTTTTTTTTTTTTTTTTGAGACAGAGTCTTACTGTGTTGCCTGGGCTAGAGTGCCATGGTGTCATCCTAGCTCACAGCAATCTCAAACTCCTGGGCTCAAACAATCCTGCCTTAGCCTCCCGAGTAGCTGGGACTACAGGCATGCGCCACCATGCCCGGCTAGTTTTTTCTATATATTTTTAGTTGTCCAATTAATTTCTTTCTATTTTTAGTAGAGACGGGGTCTCGCTCTTGCTCAGGCTGGTCTCGAACCCCTGACCTTGAGTGATCCTCCCGCCTCGGCCTCCCAGAGAGCTGGGATTACAGGCGTGAGCCACCGCGCCCGGCCTTAACTAAGTTTTTATAGAAACAGCAACTCTCTTTTTGTGCTCACCTCATCAGTTTATATCATATTTAATTAAATTATGCAGTCACAATAATAAACGTAATTCACACCAGAAAGTTCGAGAGCAGACACAACTCGCAGCGGGGTAACATTCGACTCAAACGTGTGGGGGTGGGGCGGGGGCGGGTCCATGAGTAGCCCGCTGCCTTCCCGGGCGGGTTTTGTGTCAGCATATTTCACAGAAGTAGCAGCTGGTTCGTCCGGGGAGCCATCTGAGTGAAGGTTTGCTCTGCCCGTGCCCACCCCAGGAAAGGTACCCCTGCCCAGTGCAAACTGTGGTGCTCCTGTCACAGCTCCATGTTAGCAAGGAAGAGGCTAGATTTCATGCTGAGTCCCGAGCCTTCCGGAGGAGAAGACACAAAACATCTTAGAAAGGTTTCCATCTAGGATGGCAAAGAAAAGCATTAGATTAGGCCCCAGAAAGGGATAAGCTTAGGATGTTTGGAAAACCGTGTCGGGTCCCTCCTTCCTCCGTGGCCCTGAATGGGCGGATGAAGCAAGTTTTCTGCCAAGGCTAAGTCAGAGCCATGGGTGAGCCTGGGGACAGGCAGGCACCGGCCTGGGTGTCTGGAGGCCCGCTCGGGGGTCCTCTTCTCACCTGCTCTCTCCCGCCCTCTGTGGCCCCTCTCTCCCCCACCCCAGCTCCTCCGAATGTTCTTCCGGCAGCAGGATGAGATCCGACGGTTGAAAGAGGAGCTGGCCCAGAAGGACATCCGCATCCGGCAGCTCCAGCTGGAATTGAAAAACTTGCGCAACAGCCCCAAGAACTGTTAGCTCCCCAGGTGGGCTGTTTTCTACGCCGATCTCTCCGTCGCTTCTACTCGTCCCTTAACTTCCCCTTTTCCAGTGCCCCCAGAGACAGAGCCAGGACTGGAGCCGGGGGCCAGCCTGAGGGACCCCACCTGCCACCTCAAGAACTGGAAGCCGACCTTGGACCTCCTGACCTCATGCTAGTAAAAGTCCCAGGCCTCTCCTGGAGACCCCCTGCTGGCAGCCCCCTCCCCTGCCACCCCAGGAGCCAGGCTTCCCCTCAGCTGGGCGAAGACCACGTTCCCCCTGAGGGGGTGCCCTCAGCGGACCAGGGAGCAGGGAGGGAAGCAGGATCCCAGCTAGACTTAGAACTTGAACCTTTCCCCTGCACAGGGACTGCCAGGACGTCTCTGCGCACTCCCTACCGGGGCTCTCAGCATCCCTGATGGTACCACAGAGTAAGGGCTGGGTCACAGGCTGAAGTGCCCCCTCCCCGCCTCCCGCCTCCCTCCGCACTCAGCAGCCCTGGGGCCTGACTCACCTGACCAGGGCAGCCAGCAGCCCAGCCCTGTCTGTCTCCTGCCCCCGCCTTGTCTTCAGGGAATTGAGAGGATCTCTCCAAGGCCATACTGACCCCTCTGCCTTCCCCGTGACTCTCCTCAAAGCTCTTGCACACCCTTTTCCCGTTTAATTTATGAGCCAGGCAGGGTTGGGATTAGTGTCCCCATTTGACAAATGACAGAACTGAGGGTTGCAAGGGGGAAGTGACTTACTAGGTCACCCAGCAGGCCAATGGTGGACCCAGGGCCAGGACCCTGGCTGTCCAGACCCCAAGGCCAGGGCCCTTCCCACTGCATCCAGATGCCAATCCCATTGTGGGCTTCACCAGTGCCCAAGTCTCTGTGGAGAATGAGAACTGGAAGCCATCGCCCCCGTCTGCCCAGCACCAGTAGTGCCCACGTGCCACACTGCCCGGCCGAGGCCCCTCCCGCCAGTGCCCCAGGTCTTCCTGGCCCTGCGCCCTCGACGCTCACCCCCCGGGGACTCCATCTGAGATGAGGCCTCTTCCTCCTGGAGGGTGAGGCCGAGGAGGGTGGAGCTCGGCGGGGAAGGCAGAGCGGGGTCGGATGGCTGCCGGGGTGCTCTGCGTGTCTCGCTGCCGCTCGCTCAGCCACGTTCAGCCTTACGCACGTAGAATGGCCGCAGCCACTCGCATCAGCATAGCACTTTAAGGTTTACACAGTTCTTTGACACCCAGGATCTCGTTGAGCCTCACACCTACCCCATTTTGCAGAAGAGGAAACAGAGAAGTGGCCCAAGGTCACACAACTCTGCGATGCCACATTTCATTTGGTCTTCTATACATTTTCTTTTGTTCCTTCTTTTCTCCTTTCATCTCCCACTACCCACACAGGGTTAACGAACACTGTTCTCAGAAGAGCCACAGTTTGAGGGTGAGATCTGGGATCAAGAAATGAGGTGTCCCCTCCTCCCTCTCATTAGCTAGGATCTACTAGATGCATCATACTCCACACTCGCTTCTCCCTGGCCACCCTACAGAACATCCACCCGCAAAGGCCGGGGCCACCCAAGCCCCTCCGGGTGAGCTGGGCAGGGGAAAGCCTCCCACCCCTCGGGCCTTTGCTCTCAGAACCTTCCATCCTCCCAGCCAGCTAGAGCAGGGCCACCTCACCTCCACCCCTGCAGCTAGACAGTGTCAGCTCTCATCTCCTCCTCCCCACATTTCTGGAGCTTTTTTTTCTTCCCCATTGACCTTTGTGGTCTTCCGTGATTATTTATGCTGCCTCCCAAGGATAGAATTGAAATAAAATGTTTTCAACTTATCCAACCTGGACATGGCCATCTCATTTAACCTCAGGTGGTTCCTTCTTTTGGTCACCATAGTATCTCCATGGTCAACTCCCCACCCATAGCTCCTTTGCCCTTCTGGAATGACAACCCACGTCTGTATCTATAGATATAATTTCGTAGTTTCATTCTTCTCGGCACTATTGACATTTTGGGCAAGATAATTCCTTGCTGGGGGCCTCTCTGTACGTTGTAAGATGTTGAGCTGTATCCCTGGCCGCCACCATTCTGTTGCCATAGCAACCCCCTCCCAGTTGTGACAACCAGAAATCTCCCCAGATATTGCCCAATGTCCTGTGGGGTGTCAGAATCACCCCCCAGTTGAGAACCACTGTTCTACAGTTATTCATTAGGTACCTGCTCTCTGTCTAGCCCTGTGCTGGGGTTTGGGGAGACCAGTGTTCTACATTGGAAAGGTCTTTAGAGTTTACAATCTTGATTCTGTGTACTTGACTCATTTGATCATCACAGCAGCTCTAATCGGTAGGTCCTATTATCATTCCCATTTTCAAGAAGAGCATGAAGGTGCAGAATGGTGCCATGCTCGAGGTCACCGAGCCAGTGTAGTGGGGGAGGGAGACACATGGGGACAGGGAGCTTCTGAGTCCAGAGCCAGAGGAGATCCGAGCTCCTGGTCCCCAGCCAGGCTCAGAGTTGGTGGAGTCCGTTCTGGGAGGACTGCTGGGGCCTGTCATGCAACCAGGGGTGTTAGACACCCTCATTCCCTCACCAGTCCGGGGTTGTCTTGGAGAAGAGTTGTCAGGCTGCAAAACGGACAGGGACATGGCAGTGTGGACACCACAGAAAACTCAGAAGAGCCAGAGGAAAGCAGTGTAGGTCTTAGAGCAGGGGGCTAAGGAAGGAAGGACAAAGGGCTGCAGAGGAATAGTGGGCAGGACACAAGGAGGGGTGGTCCAGGCCCAGCTCTGCCCCTGGCTAGCTGAGACCACCCACGGTCTAGCGTTAGTGGCACAAACAAGAAGTTTATTGGGAAAGGGAAGCAGAGGATGGCTTCCTATAGGGCTTGGGTACACAAACGTACTTGTGCTGAACCAGAATTTGAACAAAGACACCCCTGGAGTTTCTGCTCTAGATCAGTTCACAAAGCCTGGGTTTGAATGAAATTCTCATTTCGCTGAAGTCTGGCCTTCATAAGCTCCCTCTCCTGGGATGCTGGGAAAGAGTGAGCTGGTTGCTGACTGAGGCTGCCCCTGCCTGGGCCCTGGGCAACAGGTGAAGGGACGGGTGATCTGTCTCATCTGTACCTCTGTCCCACCTAATCCCAATTCTGAGCTTGACTGGGCAGCTCTGAAATCATTACTTATTATGGTAGATTGTCTAAGGTCAAGGTCAAACTTGATTCCCGCCCCCGCATTAGTTCATTTTCCCAACCGCACTTGTTGAATAACCTACCAGTTCCACACTGGTTATCTGTGTGTCCTTAAGTTCTTCCTACGCTAGGATATAGTCCATGCCTGGTCGGTTATGCTGACCCCTCTGCCAGTTATCAGCCTAGCCCAACACATTGCTTTAATTATTTAATGATGGAGGAAAGCGAGCCCCTCATGGCTCTTTGAACCCATCCCCACTGCCATGCCCCCCACCAGGTGTTTGCTCCCTTCTTTTCTCCAGGGAAGGATACCTTAGGCAACTCCAGACCCTTCTCTTCTACGCAGAGGTCCCCATTGCCCCTGCCATCAGCCAGCGCGCCCTCCTGGGCATGTCTAGGACTCCTTATCCCACCCCAACACCTAATTGGATTTTCAGCTCAGTTTGACACACACCAAGTAGCTGGACCTCTTTAGTGCCAGGTGCTGGGAACCAAGAGAGGGGGAAGAACAAGGCTGCCCTTGAGGGGCCGCAGCCAGTGGTCCGTCTGTGGGCGCATAGTGCCCAGCAGGACGCGGAGCCCCTGCAAGCTGTCATGAGCTTCAGCCTTGGCTGATTTCAGCGTGGAGTGGGCAGTTGTTTTTGGATTGGCTGACTCCTGGGTTGTCTTCCAGGCAGCCTCCTAAGATCCCAAGATGGGCTTGGGCATTTTTAGACTCTCTCCTGGTGCTGGGCAAGCATCCCAGACTGCCAGTGGACCGTGCAGAACGTGGCTGCTTCTTCACTGTGGGAAATGACTTCATACTGAAAACACCCCCACCACAAGGCCCCCGCCCACCAGCCTTCCTGCCTGGAAGGTCTGCGGTGACAGAGGGTGCTGCCTGGGGCAGAGGCAGACACTTACCTCGGCCACAGGAAGCGTTACCAGATCCTTCTCCTCTGGGCCCTGAGGGCCTGCGGTGCAGGGAGGGAAGAGGCCCCTTGTCTGGGCTGTTGGCAGAAGCTCCTCGTTCTGTGGGTATGTGTTTCCTATTTGGGAACAACCTGCAGCCTGTCTTTCCTAGGAATTTTAATTCAGTAACAAGCACAAATGGGTCAGCTTCGGAGAGAAAGTGGCATCTACAGGATTGGGGCCGAGGGGTTCTTGGAAGCTCCTGCCCCAGAGCCCCTCCCCATACTTGGCTGGTGACACTGCCTGGGTTCCCCCACAGCACACAGCCCCTCGGGTTAAGCATGCCCTTGCCGGAGCCGTCCTCACAGACCAAGCCCCCTGGGAGTGGACGCTGGTGTGAAGCGGGTTCGCAGATTGAGCAAGAGGACACGGGAACAACGAGCGAGTGTGGGCCCCCAGTGGGAGGCGGGAGGTAGGGACATGAGCAAAGAGATCTTGGGTTTCAAGGTCACAGTGATTACAGCCAGATTCACAGACCAGGAAGAGTTTGCTAGAAACTTCAATCCAGCCAGCAGGTGGCAGATTATGGCCTTCCTATCAAGCCCATTTTTTTCTGAGCTGAGTCCCTTCTGCCACCTCCCACCCCACCCTAAAATTGATGACCTGACCCTAGGCACTAGGGCCTCATGGCAGAGAAGGCACACAGAACAGCCAGGATCTGAAACACCCCAAGTCTAGGAGAGGGAAGGCTCTGGAGGGACAGCCACATCCTCTCACTGCCCTGGAGGCCGGCTGTCTCCAAGGAGTGGCCAGAGGAGGACACTGGCCTCACCCTCCTCCCTCAGAAGCTGCAGAGACACCGCCCTGGGGAGCTGGAAAGAGGCTTGGTCTGGGTGTTCCTGTCCCAGCCCAGCCCCTGACCTGCTCTGCGACCTTGAGCAGTTTCCCCACAGGCACAGTGACAGGGAGGGGCCCTTTCTGCCTGGAGAGTCTGCAGTTGGATGAGGCTTGGGCTGAGGAGGTGGCGGAAGAGCCAGAAAGTGAAGAGCGGGCAGAAAAGGAGGGGCGGAAGAGAGGGGTCCAGGCCAGACCCCTGCAGCCTGGGTGGGCACAGCCCAGCCCGGCCCCAGAGCTCACCAGCTCCAGCCCATGCAGTCTCCAGGAAGGTACTGATGGCAGAAAAGGACGAGTCACCTATGATCTCTGCTTCCCAGTCACGGGTACGGCCCAGGACACAGAGGAAGAGGTTGGGGACAGCCAGAGAAGCCCTGAATCTTTGCCCTGGGAGGCTGGACTCCACCCCCGGCTACGAGGGGCCACAAAAGGGCTTGAAGCAGGAATGGACACCTCCCTCTGGCTACTTCACGGGAATGGATTGGAGGGCAACATTCAAGCAGGGACATCAGGACGGGGCTGGTGGGCTGGGGGTCCAAGTGGAGCGTGGGGGTGGCCTGGACTTGGGTAGTGGTCACGGCAGACTTAAGAGAGCCTGCTGAGATAAGGAATTGACCTTGGTTGTGGGGGAGGGGCGGACAAGTTAGGAGAACCCTACCATGTCCAAACACGGACACTCCACAAAGACAGGGGCGGTGCTGTGTACT